CGCGCGAGCTGCATAGATTTCGGTTGGATCTCAACAAACAATAGCTCGGCTAATGCCGATGACACACCGATGTCACCTCGAGAACTCGTAGGCTCCCACAGCTGCCAGGTTTGCGGCCGACGTAGGACAATACCGAATCTCCATGGTGACGTCATACTCGCCTCGAGTGCCAGTGTCGTTATGGGAAATTGGTTTATGCGCCCGTGACGGAGCACACCTAGAACGAAATACCCTCGAAAGGATCCTCAACGCTCCACGTCGTGACACGCCGCGTCGCGACGAACCACCACGCCACCGCCAGCTTCTTCGTACCCCTGTTGCTTTCCTTTAATTCCAAATTACAAGACTCCTCTTGATCCGTCGACGTCCGTTCAAGAGTAATCCGAGTTTATCCGATTCCATTTGTCAGGATCTCCCGAAACTCCACCGCACAATCGAATCAACGACTCTTTCTTTCCCTGCTTCGATACCTCGAACTCGATCAATGTCTAAAAATTATTGAAACAACTAGAACAGCTTAAAAAATCACATTTATAGTATCTCACGCCATCGATTTCGTTCATCGTTGCATTTCCTACCTCGGTTTCAGGCACGTTTGTGCAAAAAACGTTTCTTTGATGCAGCGCGTTGCTACAGACTCTAGGGAATCATCCAGTTAGAATCATTGACTGGCCGAATGTTTAACGAACGTTTGTTTTCGAGTTCACGATCTTTATTCTCGCAATCGGAGAATGGATAAAGTCGTTGCGACGTCTCGATCGATTTTTAACAGACGTATTACCTAAAGAACGCGCTGCACGAAATTACAACTACGACTCATTGATATCGTTGGTCGTAGTTTGAAACGCGTCGATTGAATTACCTATAAACGTGGAACTCGTACAACTGATTTCCGATGTAGCGCGACACACGCGTGACCGCAATCTACGTAACAAGTTTTTTTTATCGGTTCTATGGAGAGATGCATCTGCTCGATCGAGTAATCGCAAAAATTTCCACGTTCGACCAACCTGGCCTAGTTTATCTTCGATTTTTACGTCTTCTGAAAATCGTTCTCGAGCGATTCATCGCGATAGAACGTCATCGTGACATTCTGTTACAGGTTTCGTGGGTAAGGCATCGGGATATACACCTGCTAACGGTTGGCCGTTATACGTATACGAGCGATCAACGTTTCGAAGCGCTACACCTGCCTCACGCCGAAGAATGGACGTTAAGGATACGATATCCACAGCAGAAAGACTCCGGGATTTACGAGTGCCAAATATCAACGACACCTCCTATCGGTCATCCCGTTTATCTAACGATAGTCGGTAAGCTCGAGGAAACGCGGTATAGTCTCCGTGCAACAGTGAATTTTGATCTTTAGCTCGTCTATTTTTGCTTTTCATACACAGGCCGCGTTGCGTCACGTTGACTCGGGTCAGGTCGGATCGGGTCGAACGATACTCGTACAAACGCAAACACGCGAAAGAAATATTAAGCCGTTTCAAAGCATTTGCAGTATACTCGTTTTGTTATAGGTAGATGGACGGTACACGCTTTAACCAAGGTATACATACCTATGTGTAATTGCCAGGTAATCTCGTTACGTTTGGACGCGAGTTATTCCATTCAAAGATTATTCCATAGATTTCCAAGTTTCGATCGATACGACGCAAAATTGTAGAATAAACTGCAACAGAATTCGTTTTAATAGGATTAGGATCGTTATTCAGTTTGAAAGTTGACGCATGCCTTGGGGGCATCATAAATACGAGAGCATCGCAATATGTATTCGCATTTGCGGTTAACGCCAATATCTCACCAATTTAATGAACTGCGCGATATAGGGATCAGTTATTTCATCAATCGCGATATGTTATTCCGTTATTAAAATAAACCGCTAACGTTACGCGATAGCGAACAACCAGTCACAGCAAATATCTTCGTAATTCGTATCTTATTCCGAGAAGAATTTCAAATTCACCGTTTTATAATTTACAGTATCCTTGGAGTTATACAGGGTGGTTGGTAACTGGTGGTACAAGCGGAAAGGGGGTGATTCTACGCGAAGAAAGAAGTCGAAGATATAGAATAAAAATTTAAAAATTTAAAAATTTAAAAATTTAAAAATTTAAAAATTTAAAAATTTAAAAATTTAAAAATTTAAAAATTTAAAAATTTAAAAATTTAAAAATTTAAAAATTTAAATATTTAAAAATTTAAAAATTTTTTAAATTAAAAAATAACGTCAATCGAAACAACGATCTACAGTGAGATCCGTTATAACGAGACGTGATGAAGTACACGCGTACCGAGCGAAAATTCAAAGTCGATTTTCTCGAAAACAAAGCCTCGAACGAAAAATTGTTATTCTATATTTTCGACTTCTTTTTTCGCGTAGAATCACCCCCTTTCCGCTTGGAGCACCAGTTACCAACCACCCTGTATATTTGCCTGAAACTTGAGAAATTTTTAAAACACGCTAGTCTAGAGAAATTTGAAAAAGATATGGACGCTTGAAAAGACCAGAGATAGCCTTCGCCTGGAAGATCGAAGAGACACCGTTATCGAAAGAGAAAGAAAATGTGAACGAGGCGTAAGCTGGTGTATATCTATGATCGGTGTGCTTGAAATTGAATTTAACGTAGATGCGGCCGTGTGTAGCGGAGGTGCGAAAGGGGCTAATCGAGGATACGTACGAAATTCATGGAAAGATTTTACACGGGCGTACAAAGCAGGTGAAACCAGGCCGTCTGCGAGCTCGTATATCCTCGCAGGTACACCGTTAATGACTGGCCTGATATCCTAACCGCGCCGTACTATTAAATGAGAGGATCTTATCACACAGACTTGACCCGAAAACGTTACCCAACACTTCCGTTTCTACGTTTCGCGCAACGATAAAAATATCGAACGTTTCATTTTGTCGCGCTAACTTTGATCACCCGTGCTATTGTTTCTTTTTTTTTCAATTTCTTTCTACCACGTAGTCGTTCTAATATCTTTTTAATTGTTCGAATTAGAAGAAACTTCGTATAGTTTGCCAGGATTTCTGTTCGTAATTTACTGCGAATGGATGGAAATTTAACTCGATCGTCGTTACAATCGTGCAACGTGACGTTTAAGTAACGTTCCGAACCGCAATTAATTTAAATCTCGAAACAAATTTAGATTCTTTGTTTGAAAGTACGTTTTTTCTCGTATAAATTCCGTCTATGAAAATATCGACATTTGCATTTACGTTCGTATCTATCTACCTGCCGCCAATAACCTTTCCAAATCGGACGAAAAATTCTAAAGCTAAAAATTTGGTTTCAGAGCCGATTACCATCATCATCGGAGCTCCCGACCTATTCGTGAATAAGGGTAGCACCATCAATCTAACTTGCGTCGTAAAATATGCTCCGGAACCACCGCCCATGATGATCTGGAGTCACAACACCGAGGTGGGTATTACCAGAATAATTATCAATTATCGCGAATTTAACGATTCCAAATTTAACTACGTGGCAAATTCACCTGTCAGATGCGAATAAGACGTACGCGTAACGCGATAATATTATGTGCGACGTATAGTTAATGTCGGGTTCGGAGTACGGTGAGCCGGGTATTCGCCGTTCATTTTACGTGCTCGCAAAGTTCTTTGTACCGGCTCAAAGGGAATACGTCGAGGGAAACGCAGCTCACATACATCCATGTACCTATCTTTTTACCATTCTTCTTGCAAACCTTGGAGCAGAATACCTTTTGTCTTCGTACGAGGCAACGGTATTACACGACAGTGTGAGAATCCACTGGGAGGGGATAGTTTCCACGGGAATATGAGAAAGCAGCTACGGCAGCTTCGAGGAAATGATTGCGAACCAAAAGTTGGATATACCTTGGGATCCAATATTGTTCCTTTTTAACTGTATGCACGCCGCCCACCGACTGCAATCCGAATCCATAGTTACCGCGCGGAGTATCGCGACGACGCGTTTTGCCTCGAATACGGGATCGTGCAAAGTTACTCGACTAAATCTTTGCTACGCTCTCTTTTCGTATGTCGCGAAACTTCCTATTGACAGTAATTTGCCAGTTTGCCGGTGTTTCGATCGAACTCGACGTAGAAACGAACATCGTCGCTTTGTTTTTAAAGGAACGTTAGTCGACGGTTCGAAGATTTTTCGTGCCGTCAAGTTTAAAAAGCTACGTAGGAATATACATAGTTTTCGTTCAATATTGTTCGAGCGTTGCTCCAAAGCTAGCAAAATACGATACAATATACGAATGTATATGCTGGAAGAAAAATTCCAATAAATATTCGAAAACGCAAGTGTCTCGATACGATAAAGGCCACTCGGTACGTGCTGGCATGCTGCAGCACGTTGAAATATTTACGCAGAACCGACGGTATTATAATTTTCGTTTTACGCTGTTATTTCTTCGTGGCTCACCGACAGGCCGAATTGATTCCTTGCATAGACGAAGCATGCGTGGACGACCGTATCCAACTCGCAGCTTTACCTTCTGCTCGTCGGATACGGACACAACATTTGGAAATCACTTCTACGCCGAAGTCTATCGCTGTCCATTGTATCATTGTAACCGTAAATATCTTCCCTCGCCATCTCGTATCCTTTTTCATCGTTCAAGATGTTCCGTTCGCTGCTGCAGTCAGTGTCGCGCGTCGTACTCGTTTCTGCGGTTGCCATGAATCTTTCAAAGTTCTTCTTTTCACCGTGCTGATTTAATTCGTACCTTAATTTAATACGCGAAGATATCGATCCTTAAAAACGAATTCGCTGGATTCTTTGTTGAGACGACCATTGTCTGCGCGACTTTTTAAAGAAAAGATTCAAATTAAAACACTGGAAACGTTTACTCCTGATTCGACTACCGTTCGGACAACCAAGGGAAGAAAAGCTGCTCCATACACAACACCAGGCATGTTATTGGCATGTTCGCAACCAAAAATATCGTCGAGCCGATTTAATAATTTCAGACTGTTTATGATTACACGTGCGTGTGGCACGCAACATGCTAAGTACGAAATCCGTAAGCCGCCACTGGTCTAAGATAATCTAACAATAGGGCTCCGCTCTCCCCTTGATACTGTCGAATCACTGACGACGGTGATGTCGAAATGTCGTCGTAGCCATGCATTGCGGCGTCGCCCAACCCCTTCGTGTTCTGTTTATTCCGATGGTGGTGTCCTTTTCTTATCTCGAGTACCCATAGCGTAAAAATCGACACGTGGCAGGAAGTGTGTGTATGTATGTATGTATGTATACAAATTCTCTTTAATAATAATAATAGCACCAAAATAGGTCAAAATTGGCGAGTATATCGCCATATATTCAAGCTGTAATTCGAATCGTTTGAATAGTTTTCGTTCGATTCGTGCTGCTTAATGTGCTCTTATTAATTATTTTAATCCAACTTCATTGTAATCGCATTATGCAAAAGTTGCATAATAGAGAAACGTTACACACGGAACTCGATATAGGAGAGATGATATTTTATTAAAAGAGTAATCTAACTTGCTACTACAATGTTTTTCTTTCTTTAACGGAACGTGGTATATTTTAATTAGTAGCATAGCAAATTTTTCGGTCGATGAACCTTCTTCGCGCGTAAGCTGTGTAGCATACTGTCTTTTTTTATTTGTCGACGACGTTAATTCTCAAACTCCGAAAGTATCGTAATCGCCGTGGCTTAAGTAAACGAACACATTAATATTTAGTCGTTACGTTCTGTAAATAAAGTTAACAGAGTTGACGCATATTTTTATAAAACTCTCGTATTTCTTTCCCTTTAAACGAGTTCTGTTGTGCATTCTATTAAATCTACTGATTGAAGAGTAAATACAATTCAGTGAAACGTTTCCCTCCAATGCAAACCTACGTTCAAACCTTTTCGCGTTAAATAATATTTTTCCAACGTTGGCAAACGCGCACGTCAAACCGGACAAAAAAGAACGATACCTTTCCGTAATGCGCTTCCATTCAGCTTACGCGAATGCATTGCGACTTTATCTTATTTTCGGTTTACAAGTGTCTTTTTACAAAATCCAGTACGCTTTCTGTACAACGAACGAATGCAATTTTTCCTACGTAGCAGAGTAATCCAGACCTAATCCGGAAAAGAAACAAGACACCATTCGATTTCACTCGCTTTAGTGATTTAAATTTTTCATTTTTCCAAATAGCTGTGAAGTGGTTCGGGATAGCCACGTTACGGAACGAATAAACGCGAGTCTCCGTATTAAAGCCGAACATGTTTTTATTTTAACCAATCGTAGGACGCGACCTATGTACGGCAACAACGACCTCGAATTACTTAAACCGTAATAGTCGCGGCTAACTCGTTGACGCGTTGCGAATAGCGGGCCTGAAGATCGTGACAGTCGATCGGTGACTGCTCAATACTCTTTTATCTTCTGCTCTGATTTGCGGCTATATTTATGATGAGATATACGCGAGGCTTTGTCACTGGGCGTGGTGACATCGTTGTTTGTTGCGAATGGCCGCGCGCTTAGAGACAGCGCGTGCAGGAACATCCGCCACGTTGCAAGGCATTCCCAGAATCCATAGTTCGTATTGACCCGCGTATTTTTACATCTTGGCAAACACGTAGGGCAACGATAGGTTTTCGTTTTATAATTTGCTAGAGCTAGGAGCGAACGAATATTCCCTCGCTCGGTGTAAACCCACCATTGCACAAACATTCTCCTTAAAGCGAATAACACGCTGTTGTTAAATTTTACTTTCGGACGTTTCGCTTTGAATAAGATTATGCGCGCACTAGCGAAGACTAAAGGACGAGAAATAAATAAATATGCGTTTATCTTTTGGTCCAGGTAATTAACTTTGACTCACCGCGCGGAGGCATTAGCCTGGTGACGGAGAAGGGTCCTGAAACGACGAGTCGTTTAATGATCCAGAAAGCGGTGCTGAGCGACTCCGGCATCTATACCTGTGAACCGAGCAACGCGAATCCCAGCAGCATTAAGGTGCACGTTGTTAACGGTAAGTTTCACGAAATATTTGAGAATCGTTGGCTCGTTTTAGGACTTATTTCCACTTGCGACTAGTTGCGACGACGCCGTAGTTTCCGGCAGACCATCGGTATCATCATGGACGTGAAAAATGTGCCCCATGCTTAAAAGAACATTTCCCGTCTGCTTCAGGAAGTTAGCATCTATATTTATGCCGTTGCTGGTGCAGAATCATCGATATATTTTGCTTTGTTTATTCGTATGTATAAATAAATCATCGAGGAATATATAAACGATGAGTATATTCAGTTACGTACAATTACAAAATTATTGGAGGTATGAAAATGTTGAAATAATCGCTACATCACGACCCGAACGTGTAATCGTTCATCCGCAAACAATTTTTTGATCACGGGTATACTTTTGCAAAGGGATTTGTAGTACTGCGTTTCAGGCGCAGCGACACCACCGCACGTCGCGGTGACGAGATTTATGGCACGTAAAGCGAAAAGCAGAAAATTTGAAAATACATGCTGTATGTTGAAATTACTGCGAAATCGTATACCATACGAGCGTCGCTACACACATGGTAGAAAATTAAATCTTTCTTTCGAGAACAGCCAATCGTCCCTGAGCGTGTCGTAAATCTTGCGTTAATTCGAATCTTCGTGAATGTGTTGCGAAAATTGTTCGAACCTCTCAAACGAAGATCAACTTTATTCGTTCGCATTGAACTATACATTTTTTAACGCGTTAATCGATCTGTCGTGGTATATTTTATAAAAAGTTACTAACCTATTTAACGTGAAAAAGCTATAGCCAATAAAAAAGTTGGCAGATCCGAAGAACATAAATAAAATCATTAATTTGTCTAGCATATTACGGTAGAAAATGTTTCATAAGATTATTTATTTATATCAAAGGCATTATAACTCGTAGTATTGTACGTATTACAGCATTACTACTGTCATCGCTATATCGTATTATATAGCATTACAAGTTAATAGTATCATATACTAAAACATACTCCTCGCGCGTTCTAGCAGCAAAATGACATTCAGTAGCGCTCGATTGTTCCAGGTATAGTACGTATTGTATATGTATTCCATATTGTACGTCTGCCTCTTTGTAGTCGCGCGCGTGACACGACTGATCTGTGACGGTGTATCGCACCTTGACTTTGCGGAGGCGCACGTTCCTTAGTCGCGACAGCGTGAATGGAAACTCTGCCTTATCCGACAATGGATTTTATAGTCGCGCGCGACTAATCGCAAGTGAAAATAAGGCCTTACCCTGCCACGTTAATTGATCTCTCGTTAAATATCCCGTTGTTCTTGGAAGACGGGACGCGTGTACATTTGCCCTAGAATCGACGTTGTCGAGATCGATCTGACCGTGCCTAGCGTTTAAATTCGCCGAAAGCCATGCATTTCGCACGACGTCGC